TATGTTTGGAAAATGGCATTATTCACCAAACAACTGCCCCTTACTCTCCACAATCTAATGGAATTGCGGAGAGAAAGAATTGAACGTTGAAAGAGATGATGAATGCGTAGTTGATAAGTTCTGGTTTACCACAGAACTTGTGGGGGGAAGCTATACTTCCAGCTAACCGAATAATCAACCGTGTACCTCATAGTAAAACATAGTCCATTCCTTATGAAAAATGGAAAGGAAGGAAGCCTAGCTTGAAATACTTCAAAGTGTGGGGGTGTTTAGCTATGGTACAAGTTCCTAAACCTAAAAGGGTTAAGATAGGTCCAAAAACAGTTGATTGTGTATTTATTGGATATGTAACCAATAGCAAGGCATATCGTTTTCTGGTTCATAAATCAGAAAATCCTAAGATTCACGTTAATACGATAATAGAATCAGATAATGCTGAATTCTTTGAAACTATTTATCCGTATAAAAAGGAAAGTGAAGTGACCTACCAAAAGTCAAAACGACCTCGGGAGGAAATAACAGATGGTATGCCTAATGAGGAAAATCCGAGAAGAAGTAAACGTCAACGGACATCTACTTCATTCGGTCCAGATTTTCTGACTTTCTGCTAGAAAATGAGCCTCGTACCTTCAAGGAAGCAATGTCTTCATCAGAAGCACAATATTGGAAAGAAGCGGTCAATAGTGAAATAGAATCCAAATTGAGCAACCATACATGGGAATTGGTTGACCTTCCTCCAGGTAATAAAACATTGGGTTCTAAATGGATTTTCAAGAAGAAAATGAAAGACTATGGTACTATTGACAAATTCAAGGCAAGACTTGTTGTCAAAGGATTTAGACAGCGAGAAGGTCTTGACTATTTTGACACATACTCGCCGGTAACAAGAATTACATCCATTCGGATGCTAATAGCGTTAGCCGCCTTGTATGATCTTCAAATCCATCAAATGGATGTAAAAACAGCCTTCTTAAATGGTGATCTAGAGGAAGAAATTTACATGAACCAACTCGAAGGGTTTGTGGTTCCGGAAAAAGAAAAGGTGTGTCGACTTGTTAAGTCCCTTTATGGACTAAAACAAGCACCCAAGCAATGGCATGCGAAATTTGACCAAACAATGTTGTCAAATGGCTTTAAGATTAATGAATGTGATAAATGTGTTTACATTAAGAACGTTCCAAATATATAGTCATTGTTTGCTTATATGTTGATGATATGCTAATAATGAGCAAAGACATTGCCGACATTCAAGCTACTAAGCGTATGCTTGCTAGTAAGTTTGATATGAAAGACTTAGGAGTTGCCGATGTAATTCTAGGAATTAAAATCCAGAGGACTCCTCAGGGTCTAGCTTTGTCTCAATCACATTACGTGAAAATGGTACTTGAAAAATTCAAACACTTGGAATTTAGAAGTGCAAGAACTCCAATTGACTTAAATCATCATCTTATAAAGAATAAAGGTGAAAGTACGTCTCAATTGGAGTATGCTCGTGTGAGGGGGTTAAAATTCCTTAAGGACGCACAAGCAAATTGTGGACTCGGAATATTTCTTATTGTTTACTGTTTTCCAGTTTCTTTTATTCTTCTAACAGTTTTTTGATTTTGTGTTTCAACACAGTAGCGGTTTACACTCACATCGTAAATCTCTAAATGTGATGGAAAAGCAGACAATTTCTTCTTGCCTGGCCGAACAGCTTTTACCACACGATCACAACGGACTAGAAGTTTCTTCTTAAGCAGAATGTTGGCAATATCTTCAGGTTCCAAACTTCTGTCTGACTCGAGTATGTCTTTCAGTTCTGAATGATTCCTCATGAAACTAACAAAATCTTTTCCTCTGAAATACTCTACTCGTATTTCCTTTAGCGCAGCCCAACGAGACACAAAGTCCTTAATTATGATCTCTAACTTTCTCAGCAAATAGCTGAATAACATCCTTTTTGGCAGCTTCCTTCTGAAATACAAAAGGAAATAGCATGGATATGAGAAACGTCTCACTAAATTCAATGACAAGAATCACAATACGGGGAACACACAACAAAAATAATTTACGCCACAATTAACTCAAAATGAATTTAAGTTCTATTTTGTAAAAAATATTTACACAATAAGATGGTAATATCAGGTGAACCTCTTAATAAGCATTTAATCTGAGAACGTCTCAATAAATTTAATGACAAGAACCACACAATTACGAGGAACACACAGCAAAAACAATTTAAGCCACAGTTTAAGTCTAAATGAATTTAAGATTGCCTCGTGAAATAGCAATAGAACTTTTCCAGACATTTATAATTCATGTTCTAATTAGACAACATGCCTCTCTGCCCTATCAGGGTAGGGGTAAGGTCTGCGTACACATTACCTTCCCCAGACCCCACTGTGTGGGATTTTACTGGGTAGTTGTTGTTGTTGTTATTGTTCTAATTAGACAACATCTTGCTTCGAACATAGTAGTTACTACCGGGAAAAAACCTGATTGTGTGGAAATCCTTCGAGAAGTTATGCAGGGCTAGCACTAACAGTGTAAACAATAATGACACAATCAAGTAACTTAAATAGGTAGTTATAGGTTATAAATTTCTTAATAAGCATTAATTGGTAATCTGGTAACAGTGATAACTAGCTTGTTATCACAAGTTAAAATTTACTGATAGTGTAAAAAAAAAAAACCTTTACTCTGTCAGTGTACAATAACAACAACAAATCCAGTATAATCCCACAAGCGGGGTCTGGGAAGGTAGAGTGTACGCAAAACTTACCCCTACGTGGTGAAGGTAGAGAGGCTGTTTCTGAGACTCTCGGCACAAGAAAAGTGAAAAAAGAAGAAAAAAAAGAAGAAAAAAAAGAAGAAAAAAAAAAGAAAAAGGAAATGAAAACAGAAGAAGAAGAAAATGGAGTACCACCAAAACAGTACCAATGGAAAAATAAGATAACTGAAGCGAACAAAACAACATGAAGTAAAAGCGATCAAGGAATAAGAACATACAAAGGTGCTACTAATACTATTGGTAAGGAACGGGGAAACTCTCGACTACGTACTGAGTTTTTCCCCTAATTATCGACCTCTACATCCTCCTATCAAGGGTCATATCCTCGCTAATTTTTATTAGATATCCAGGACAACTGTAACAAGAACACTGGCTTAAATTGGAACCAATTATCTCATGAAACCATTAAAAAGACAATTTTACAGGCTCATAATAGTCCTAACTTCTTCATTAGCAAATGATCTTAATTCAATAATTTAGAGTTAGGTACCTTAGGAGGAGTGTTGGAATCTGTATTGGAACCTTGTGATCTTCCTACCTTCTTCTTTTTGTCTGCTACATTTGGTTTCTTCATCTCTACATGTGTGTGTGTGTTTCTGGTTTTTTGTTGTATTTATGTTCAGACTATCATGTTGTAACAACCCCCACTTGGGTTTGAAAAATGAGCAAAGTAACAACTATATGTAAAGAGGAAATTGCATAGAAACATGAAGGAAGCTGCTGGTTTTATTACAAGACTCAATAGTCAATATGAAATATCAGGGTCTACTATTATTGGCACTTAGGCTGTGACCTTATATTACATGACATGCAAATGGGAAGAGTCCATTACTCAAATGGTTACTAAACTATTTTAAATTATTTCCTAAAGTCACTTTACTTTCGTTTGTAACAACAAAGTCACTGAACTATGCCTATTACATTCAGAAGGTCACTCAACTAGATTTTTCAAATTTTGAATTGTCAAATACTTATTTACCCTCTAAATTTATCTTCTTTTATTTTTTTTAACTTTTTAATATTATGATTTTTCCCCTTTTAATTTATATTATGGACTTACCTATAGAATAAATAAATATTATTTATAAATTTAAAAAATAGAAATTATTTAAGCATATATAATGTTGGAATAACAAAATAATGAGCATCGTAAAAAAATTAATTAGAATAATTTATTAGTAATAATAATTCTAGTATTAACAACAAAAATTCAAAAATTATTTACACAATTCAGAATGAAAGAAAATAAAGGTTGTAAAAAAATTAATTAGAATAATTTATTAGTAATAATACATTACGTGCATGAACTATATATTTTACAACCTTTATTTTCTTTCATTCTAAATTTTGTAAATAATTTTTTGAATTTTTGTTGTTAATACTAAAGTTATTAATACAAACAAATTGTACTAATTAATTCTTTTACTATGCTCATTATTTTCTTATTCCAGCATTATAGATGCTTAAATACTTTTTATCTTTTTAATTTATAATAATATTTATTTAGTCTATAGGTAAGTCCATAATATAAATTAAAAAGAGAAAATCATAATATTAAAAAGTTCAAAAAAATAAAAGAAGATAAATATTTATAATTTAGAGGGTAAAATAGGTATTTGGCAATCCAAAATTTAGAAAATTTAGTGGAGTGACCTTCTGAGTGCAATAGTCATAGTTTACTGACTTTGTTGTTACAAACGAAAGAAAAGTGACTTTAGGAGATAATTTGAGATAGTTGAGTGACCATTTGAGTAATTGACTCCAAATGGGAATTATTTTACTAATTGTTAGGTGAAGTATTTCAAGTGAAAGCTCTATTTCTGAGTATAAAATAATTTAGAAAACTTAAGGATTCATGATAATTAAAGTATTATGGAGACAAAATACTTAGCTCCCATTCGGCCATAGATTTTTGGCTACTTTTAGTCATTTTTTTTTTTTGAAAATAGTGTTTGTTCATGAAATATAATTATTTTCTGAAAAGAATTTTTTTTTGTAAGGGGAGCCTCGGCGTAGCTGGTAAAGTTGCCGCCATGTGAGCTGGAGGTCACGAGTTCAAGCCGTGGAAATAGCCTTTTGCAGAAATGCAGGGTAAGGCTGCGTACAATAAACCCTTGTAGAATAAGGCTTTATTTTTATGGTCATTTAAAGAGTAGAATAAGCACTAGGTACATTTTCACACTCTATTTTCCCAATAACACCCCCCCCCCCCACCCCACAACCCCAAAATTGATTTTTTTATTAAGCCAAAATTACAAAGCAAAAAAAAAAAAAAAAAATTAAGTATAATATACCTCCTTTATCCATATACCTTCTGTTCCCTGTGACAGTGAGTTTCAAATGCTGCATCTTCACCATTCTCTTTCAATTCACACAAACAGCTATCCAATTACCTCAGTTTCTGGTTCTGGTTTAAATAGATGGAATATATTCAAGAAAACAAGAAAAAGAAAAAAAATTCCTTTGCTTAAAGCAGTAGAGAAAGATTCTGAATTTGAAGTAGACCAAGATAAGGCCCGTGAAGCTTTGAGAAAACTTGATGAAGAACTTCAGTCCATTTCTCAGAAAAAAATTGACCCTCCAAAAATTAGAGGTAATATTTCACTTAATTCCCCATCTGTTTATATGTGTTTGTAGCCATATTTTGGTGTATGGATATGAATATGTGTCTTGTGCTGTGTTTTAAATGTATGTTTTTTTTGTTTTTATGATAATTTCTAGTTTTTTGAGCTTAGAGCCATTGTTTTCTTTATGTTCTAAGTTAGTGAGGAGGAATTTGATATACAACACCTAACAACAACAACAACCCAGTATAATCTCACAAGTGCGGCTTACCCCTACCCCGGTGGGGTAGAGAGGCTGTTTCCGCTAGACCCTCGACTCAAGAAGACGAAAAGAGACAATAGATTAGTAACAGCAACAGAGGTCAGAAAGATAATACCGGCATCGTAAGAACTAGAAAATATATGAACAAAGCAATGTCAATAACTAGTAACAATGGCAAGGTACTATGAAAACGAAAAAATATATGAACACGACATGAACCACTAGCCGTCTAGGGCATACATATATTGGGTGCGCGAATAGAGTGTCACTTAGGAAGTTGATAAAGAAAAAAAAAAGAATCTACGAGATATTCTTAATGCTAATGGCCTGACTTTTTGAGAAAATCATATGGCATTGACCTAAACAATATGACACCATGTTAAGAGTGTTAAATTACTGAATGTTTTGAGACAAAAATTCTTTGTAATTATCAATTCTTTTCTAAGAAAGGGGTGGGTTTCTCTTCAGTTCTTGGGCTGGACTCTGTTTCATTGTTGAGGTGAAACTTTATCTTTTTATAATCAATAGTTGAGGTGACTATAAAACTCCACTAAAGACCAATGTCTATCTTTTACCATTTTTAGGCAGGATGACCTCAAAATGTATGATCATTGTCTGCAGTCTGCACATACAAGATATTTTAGCAATCTGTATTATTTGATTATGAGCTTGTTTTTAGTGATTCTTTTTAGAGTAGATTAAGAAACTTTAGGTGCATACTATTACAAGGTTGAGATACATATTTAGTCTGTCAAACTCAATAATCAAATTGTTTTCTTTACATATGGTATATGGCAAATATTAGCCTCTTTTCCTTGGACAAGTTTGGCAACTGTTGCTTAAGTAAATTGAGCTAGTATTGATATCAGGAGGCTTTGTTAAAGTTCTCTTCAGATTCTTATACATCAGCTTTGATTTTTTATGTTGTTTATGTTGAAACAATCTTTTAGATAAACATAGTAATTTGAATATAAAGACTTTGATAGACATGTGTTTCGAGGGCAGATGTATATGTTAACTAAACATAACACCTGCAAAATCCTTTAACATTATTTTACCATCTCCGTGCAGTTTCTTTGAGCAAATGCCTTACCTCATTCCAAATGCCTCAAACTTTTGACTGTCGTGCCATCTCATTTCAATTTACGCTACAATTTTTCTTGCCTCTTCTTCATCCTATCCAGAGGATCTTCCAAGAACATCCTTAACTCCTTCCATCTCTGCGTTTCTGATTCTTGCATTGGGATGCCGTTCCATACTTCATCTCAAATTGCTGGAATTTGTCCGGTACCTTTGTGCATTGCGGTCAACAATCAGTTTAAGCTCAAAGTGGTCTCCCTTCATTCTTCAAAGATGGAAACATGAGTGTGAATGGAGTCTTAACATTTTACTGTTCGTGATATTTCTTTTCGTCAGATGCTTAGAACATTGATATTAAATTGATGTGCGAGAGTACTTCTCAATCTCATCGTTGGTTTTACAAGATGAAAGCTCTCATAGGATTTTTAGTGAATCTGATCAATTTGAGGTCCAACAGTAGGAAATGTAGTAATAATATGTAACTTTTGAGTAGACATATTTTGCCTCTCTACCCCCTCGGGGTAGGGGTAAGGTTTGCGTACACACTACTCTCCCCAGACCCCACTAGTGGGATTTCACTAGGTCGATGTTGTTGTTGTTGCTTTGAGTAGACATATTTTCATACATAAGGTTAATTAGATAGACAACTTTGCTTAAGATTACATAAATGCTGTAATTTCCCTTCCGATATTTCAGTATTTCTGTTATCCTACGATTGACATAGTATTCCTTGTGCAGTTATGTGTTCTCTATCTCTTGCAAATCTTGCAACTAATAGAGAAATACCCAATTTTTATGCTATTTCCTGTCACTGCAAAACACTCTATAGTTTCAATGTATTTGTCAAAGAATCTGCGCATCCAATCCAAATTTAATCACTACTTGGGGAATTAGCAGGTTATTTATTAAGCAATTTCGGAGCATATACTTCATTCATGTAGGAAGTTGACACTTGAAATAAGAATACCGCATTAGACTAAATGAATGTGAAACTCTCAATTAAAGGAATAATTAACCCATGAATAGCCTCATTTTTCCATAATAATGGAAAGAAGAAGATAAATATAGAAAGAAAAACATTTGACTCAAGAATGAGATTCATTTCCGCAGGACGCCTTAATATCTATCTGTTTTTGTTTTTTCCAGTCTAAGTTCATGGTATTTATTGTCCCCTTTGGCCCAATAGAGCTCACCAATTTGTCTCTTCAGTTACACCGCATCGAGTCCAAAAGCACATGAACCATATGAACTTGTCGTTTGTCTTATCTAGCTCGTCACTTTCCTCTCCCTTTCCGATGTGGGATTTGCCTAAGATATCACATGTATCCCTTCTTAGGAAGTTTGCTAGCGTAAAAGCATGTCAGTTCTTCTTCTTGACTCGCCACTATTAGCCCCTCTCTGTCGTGGGCGTCAAAATTCATATGTAATAGTTAACATGATTGGGATTAACATGATGAGTTTATTAGCATGTCTATGATGTCAATTTTGTTGACCCAAATATTTCTTGAAACACTTGCAGCTACGGAGCTGAGCCGCGATAGCTTTCAAATGACAGAAGAGAATAAAGATCTTTCAGGATCTTTCTTAAATTCATTAGCCTTTGGTCTTTTACTCTTCACTATTTTCTACAATATACTCTTCGTTACTGTAATCAAACCAGCAGTCGATGGGCCAGACACAATTCCAGAAATAGACTTAACGCTTGAAACTCTACAAGCAGCACCACTACGGCAGTTGTTATCGATACCTCGAGTTTCAAAATGAGCTGTGAAATTACATTGTATTGAGGCAGAAAGGCTGAAGCAACTGTATATTTCTTGTTTCAAAATAGTAATATCTTGATTTAGTCTGTTTAATGATGTAAATCTCAGGAGAGTGAAACTGGTGTATATCAATTTATCAGCACTAACTCAGTATCTTTCAAATTTGCCTGTAAAATTGTACATTCTGTTACTCATCTATACTATGTAATATGTTATGTTTTGATAGATATATCAATCTGTTTACCCTTAAAATTGGATAACAATTAAACTTATAAGTGGTTTTAAGGATATGTGATTTTACTTGGCACAAATTGAGAAATATGAGAATTAATGTTAGAAATTAACTGTAAAACTAAAGCAAACCAATATAATGAGCGATTATGGCCTTCGAGCTAGATCGCCCTCGAACCAACAGAGTATGCTAATAAAAAGTATGAACTGAATAATAGAGCTTAAGAGAGAAAATGTAATGTATTGCTTTGTTATGCGTGAATATGGTGATATGATTAGAACCCCCTTTATATAGTAGAGGAATTCTACTTATGGTACAATTCTAAATACAGAAGGAAATCTCATGATTGGCTAATTGTCCGGTCTTGACTCGATATGTGTCGAGATTTCCACCACGATCCTTGCCCAGTCACGGATATCTCGACTTTCTGTTATTCGGTTTAGCAGGCTTCCTTCGATCTCGCGTCGGTCTCGATCACGGCTGGTCTCGATCTTGATCGATCATCGAATCATGAGCTTAGCAATCCATCTCCGTGCCATGGTTCGATGCAATGCCAGGTCGAGCCTTGGTCTGTCACCCCGGTTTCGATTAGCCATACAAAATTAGGGAAGCCCGATTCTGAACGTATACAGATAGTCCCCTCGTTTTTGGAGTGTAATGACAAGAACCGAATTGAGTCTTCGAACTTTCCCTCGGTTTACCATTACGTAAGCATCGTGATGCAAGCAGCAGAGGTTACCGAAACGTCTCGTCGGTTCAATTTCCTAGGCATTTAACGAGCGTCAGTCGACGGTCGGCCACTACTAGTATTGAACCATCGTTGCGAAACCAATTAATAGGCACCCTCTTCATTCTTTCAAACTTTACTTTCAATTTCCTTCGTCCTAATCTTCACATTTCTTTGCCTTCTCCGGATCTTTGTGTTTTCAGTTTCCTGGGTTTCTTTACTTGTTTCTTCGCAAAATATCCATGCGTTCCTCCTCCGTCTTGTTCTTCCCCATTTACAAAAATGGCTAAGACCTCAAAAACTATCCCACACAAGGAAACTGCTTCTTCATCAAATCCTGTTGGCGCCGTAGCCGCGGCGGATCCTCCCCTAGAGGACTTCGTTCCAACACAGTGCCCCACTGCTGCCGATTTTAAGGTGGAGAATACACCCTCGACACCGGGTCGATGTGAACCGATGTCGATATACATATGTACCATTACCGACGGTCTCCTCCAGAAGGTGAAAGAGGAGTACAACTGGGTAGGCAAAGATGTAGTAGTTCCTACCCCCGAGGAATCTATCACCACTCATGTGGAGGGGTATCTAAGTGTCTATACTTACCCCTTCATGATAGGTCCCTTAGACCCCATCATCTTCGCCTTTTGCAAGAGGTACGACGTCACTCTTGGCCAAATCCATCCCTCATTCTGGAGGATTATGATCCTCCTTCGATTTTTCGTAAGCAAGATCGAAGGTCATCCTTTTACCCTCGATCACCTTATGTGTCTCTACAGCCCCCGGATTTATCTTGGGGTCTTGATCAAGCTTTACCATCGAGCCACCAAACCCCCTTCTCGAGCATAGATGAGACCCGAGATCGAGGTTGGATGGGCCGATTTGTCCGAATAAAGATCTCGGACCTGATCCTTGCCGAGGACATGTCGTTTCCTGAAAAATGGAACATGAATGATAAGTATTGCTTTGCCTTGAATATCTATCTTTGCCGTTTTACTTCTCATCTTCTTTCCTTATTTAAGTTCTTTGTGTTGTAGTTGTGGCCGTCGTGCCGGAAGTGACCGACCTGAGGCAATGGGTCGAGGGCTTAGTGACTCAAAAGTCTTACTCCGAGCGTGCTTGGATGGAGTTATCAAAGGGTCAATGGGAGGCCCGTAACCATGATAATATTCTTTTCTTAGAACAGTTTCCATTCGGGCTCCGTATTGGACTTATTCATCATTTTCTTTTTGTAGGCCTCGGAAGGATGTAACAACGAGCCCCCCCCCCCCCCCTCTGCTGAAGAAGATGCACTTATTTCATCATCTGCCTCGAAGCAGGGCAAAGAGAAGAAAAGAAAGGGGGCTCCGAGCTCTCCAGGCCCGGACAAGAAAAAATCGGCGAGCAGACCCCGTAAACCGAAGGGGAACGTCATCCGCCTAACTATGGAGTCAGTCAACCAACTGAGGAATGAGGCCGAAGAGGACAAAGAAGAATAAGAAGACTCAGGGCTGGTGACCCGTATGCGAACTGGCACCGAAATTCAAAAGAACTACTGGGCCGACGGGAGCTGAAACTGCTTTGCCTCGTCTTGACGAAGTCCCCGGGTAAGAAAAAGCCAAAGACGCTTCGCCTCGAGGTGAGAAAGCTACCGAGGAGGCGGTCGAGGTTGGTGTAGAAACCATGCTCGATGCTTTCCGTGATGAAGGCGGAGCCCCAAAAGATTTACTTAAGGCAATAGAAATTGGAGATTCCCCCTCATTGCCTTCGTTCTCTGATTAGACGATCAAGGACGCTCAGGCGATGGAGACTTGCCACGGTGAAGGGGATCCATGAAGCAAAGACCCTTTCGATGGTTATTTTGTCGAAATAGAAGATGTCATTGGTCTGGGTGACTTGGATGTACTGAGGAAAAGCTCGAGTGAGGCTTCCTCGAGCTTCAAACTGACCAATCAATTATCGGCCCTTAGTGTCGATCCCGGACGTAAGCGGTCACCTATGATCTCGATCCCGGAGGATGCTAGGGTTCTTTCTGCCCCCATAGGGGTGGCTAGCTATCTCCGGTGCTTGATCACTGAGGAGGACCTAGCCAAGATGGATGAAGTAAAAATTGCTTGCTTGTTCAACGAGGCCCAGCATGCTCTGAATCGGGTAAGTTTGAGGGCCATTCCATCATCTTCTTTTTAAAACTTTGAGTTGTAGATGGTACTAACACTTTCGTCCTTACTTGTAGGCTTCGGTGTTGCATCACGGAGCCTTCCTTCGAATCCGGGAGGAGCGTAAGGCTGAGGTTCAAGACCTCACTGAGAAATGCGATACTTATAAGCTTCTCAATGAGAAGCTTCAAGTAGACTTGGTGGCGGCTCGAGATGAGCATGCTGAGATGGTCGAGCAGGTATTGCGAGTCCTTCATGATAGTGAGGATGAGTTGGAGATAACAACTAACGATCTGATTCTGTAGGTTCGACAGAGGATCGAATAGATCAAGGACCTCCAAAGGCAAATAGATAAAGTACGAGCCGAAGCTGAAGAGTTCAAGGGGTGTATGGACGTCTTAGCTTCACAAAAGGAGGTCGTTCAAGCAGAGCTGGAGTTAGTAGAGTCCCAGGTTTGGGCTGCAAGGGAGAATGCCTTGGTTCACGCAAAGAAGGTCGAGGAGCTTCAATCCCGTTTAGCCAATTTGGCCAAAGAGCTCGAGGTGGCTAGATCTGAGGCGATCGCAACCAATATTAAGGCTCAGGCTAGTGTGACCCAATACGAGGCCGATGCTGAAGCCACCCTAGCGTAGGCCAAAAGCATGGTGGATCATGCAAAGTGGCAAGCTCGAAGGGAGGCCCTTGAAGGGGCCCGTGATCAAAGCTTCAATATATCTGCTGAGATTGAGATTGTCAGGGAAGAGGAAACAAAGGCTCGAAGGTTGGCTTTTTCTGAGGAAGATCCGAGAACTTGAGTGAACCTGGCGGTGGAGAAGATTCTGAGGGCAAAGATACTTCTACCGATAAGGATTGTGCTGCTAAAGCTTTGTGCTTTTTGTAAATTTACGCATTTATTTTTAGGGCCAATCGGCCCTTGTAAAGAACTCTTAATCGGGACATATGTCCCTTGTAAAAAGATTATGATGAATATATGAAACTTTCCATTCATGGCTTTTGAATTTGTTGCCCCTTTTTTTGTTATCTCTTGTAAGGGTTGAAACACCTTAGCATAAGATTTTGAAGTTGCGTTCGAGGATTCGAGGTTCGGGGTGGTGAAGACCGATAATAAGCCTTACCCTCAATCATTTCCAATCGATGAACCTCGAATGATTATTCGAACTTTAATTTATGTAGCCCTTAAGCTCAATGGTCGAGTGAGGACCTGCTCGAACTCGAAATAAGGTAGCCCTTAGGCCTTTGTAAATTTTGTATTAGGCTGATTTGGCCTTTGTAAAATGATCGTTTATATATATAAGGCTTTCTACCCTTTTCGGCTTTCAAAAGTCTTTTCCTTTGTTTTATCGTTCGTGTTCACAAGGGTTGTAATGCCTTTGCATGAAATAATGAGGTTATGCTCGAGGGTTCGAACAAAACCTTGCTTTTATTGCCTTTCTAGGTTAAGGGTTATCGGGGTTCGGTGTTATCGAAGTTGTCTCCCAAAATATTTTAAGTTTAAGATTTTGCCGAGGGTAGCTTTTAGAACCGGTTGTGAGAGAATTTTTTCTTTTTCGAAGGCTTGTATTTGTTACGGATTTCGGACGTCTCCGAATCGTGTTAGATGGGCCGTAGCCTTTTAATTCGGGTATAGCCTAGTGATCTCGTTTTCCCGAGTTATCCAGGCTTGCCTAAGATAACAGTCCCCGAGTGGGTATGGCCGTGGCCTTTAACATTCGAGGGTTGCCTAAGAGGTCTTATGCCCTCGATGTTCAATAGTTCGATCTGTTCGAGTTTATTTTTTGGATGGTAGTCCCCGAGTGTTGGAGTGATTATCCGAACTCCGGTTGCAATTGGCCCCTGGGCCTGTTAACATAATAGATCGAGAGTATGAAATCGTAAAGTAGAGAAATTTTTCTAAGGCATGAGATATTGGCAAGGAAAAATACTTCTCTTTATAATTGATTATACATGCGTACATGTTATGTGCCAGGGCTCAAGCAAACTACGCGGGCACGGCTTGTTTGACCGCTTGGCCCTTACAAATTTTCCTATCGAGACCCTGATTCCATGAAGTAATTTCCTTGCAACAAAGTTGATATTCGAGGGTAATGCCCCTCCCCCAGTATTCGAGGTTGATTGTAAAGAAGCCTCGGATACTGTTG